CTTAGAAGTGAGGATGGGGAGACTTCATCTCACATACTTTGGACATGTTATCAGGAGGGACCAGTCCCTGGAGAAGGACATCATGCTTGGTAAAACAGAGGGTCAGCAAAAAGAAAGGAAGACCCTCAATGAGATGGATTGACACAGTGGCTGCAACAGTGGGTTCAAACGTAGCAACGATTGTGCAGGGCTGGGCAGCGTTTCATTGTGTTGTACAGAGGGTTGCTATGAGTCGGAACCGACTTGACTGCCCCTAACAACAACTGCATTTTCAGTTCTTAAGGGCTTGATTTCAAAGAAGTTTTCCTTTTCCACTTTTTAAAATGTAGATACTTCTCTGTATTTATATTATTTTACGTTTTTTGCTTTGCATAATGTTTTTGTTGTTGCGTGCCATCAAGTCGATTCCGACTCGTAACAACAGTATGTGATGGAGCAGAACCGCCCCATAGGGTTTTCTAGGCTGTGATCCTTAGCAGAGCAGCTCATGAGGTCTTGTCTCCCGCGGAGCAGCGGGCTGGGTTCCAACCACAGACCTTTTGGTTAGCAGCTAAGCACTCAACCATTCTGCCACCAGGGCTCCTTTGCATAAGAAAACCTCATTGTGTTCCTGAGGCAGAGATTTGTGTTACCTCAGAGAGAGGAATAATCCGTAGAGATTCTCAGACCACAGTGAAGGGCCCTCCAGAGCCAAAACACAAAGAAAATTTTTCCCGAAATCGATATGGCCCATCCATAAATTTCCTGTGTGTCAAGGAGATGCTATGCTTTGGGTCACCTTAAGTTTTTTTCTTTGCCAGATTTTATATTATGTATTTGTATGTTAGATTGTATGTTTGTGTGTGGAACGTAAATATTCTATGTTCTTTAGATTTATACAAAATTGTATCTTCATAATTAAAGAAGAAAAAATAAACCTATAACATAAACACAGTACTATTAGGAGAATTTCATCTGATTCTAGTGGGCAAGTTCTAGAACTAACATTTTCTGGAAAAAAATTGCCAAGAACTTCAGAACTGCTTATAATTCTTTCAAAGATTTTTTTCCTCATTAATATTTAAAATAATAGTCAATACTTATTTAAAAATTATTTCATGCTAACTCTCCAGAAATGACTCTACAGAAGCACAGATAAATAGACGGCATTCAGACAGACATATCTCATCACCTGAGAGAGGGAAGTATTTGTTTTAGTGATATCAGAGAATTTAGGATATTTCAAACCAGCTTCCTCATGAACAGTGGTTCGTGATTGGATCTTGCTATTAAAATTAGCATGTGCTTAAAACTTGCCACATTTGTATCAACTTTTTGACAATCTTAAAAAATAGCTACACTAAAAGAGAAAAAAAAAGATTGTTACATTGCCAAAGAAAGAGTGAATTATTCAGGATACCGTGAAAATGGCATGAAGCTTCATTTGATTTTCTCATTTTTAGTGTACTCTTAAGATCCATCAAGGATCATAGAATTCTCACTCAAAATTTCCAGCACAGTGACTGTAATGTATTAACTTAAAAAACATCTTCTTAAGTTCACAGTTCATGTCAGCCTCTCTGAAAGTCACACGTGTATATTGTTCTATTTTTATCACAAAACTGCTAAGAAGTTGAGAGTATTAGAAACGCCAAAGCAGAGAGTTAAAAAAGAAATGAACACAGACTGAAAATACTTGTGGCTAAAGAGTGATTCCTTCACTAGAATTTAACTCATAGGAAGGGAAGAACATGGTCAGAAAACAGAGGAATATCTGTTCCACATTGTTGACTCTTCGGTCTTTAAAATGCCCTTTTAAAATGAACTCAGGCTGGAGGGTTTGGTGAGAACTAGCCAAGGACAGAAACGTTAGCATGGTGCTGTCATTGCTCTCACCAGGAGGTGGCAGTAGAGTGCAGCTGCATTACAGCGCTTGACCTCAGGATTTGTGCCCTTGGCGTTGTAACCCCAGAGGGAAAAGGAAAGGCAGAGAGAGTCTCCAGAGATGATTTCTTTGATTATCCATATAGAGTATAAACACCTGCCTGACAGAGAAAATGAGCATGATGGTTCTAACCAAGTTAGGCCATCTACTGCATCATAGTCATCTTTTATGCAAGAAAGAATGGGAGTCAAAATTTTCATTCTGTTTCTTCTTTTTACCTATTTGTGATAATAAGAAAAAAATCACTCCATATCTTTGACTTTCAGCTTACTGATCTACAAAATGAAGTCGAATTATTAGCATTATTTTTTTACATGGCTGAGACACAGGAGAACTAACTGATAAACATCGGTTGTCACGGTGTGTGGTCAATGATGGGTCCCTTTACGTAACAGAAATATGTTTGTGGAAATGTGGATTCCTTGAGGGGGAAGGATCTTACTCATCTTGTCAAACTTTCTCATCTTGGAGATCTCTTCAGTTTATGTATTCCATAGGCAGACTATTGAGTGAAATTTCTAAGAATACTGTTTTTAAGTGCTTCCAATTAATAGATTCAAAGCTTTAAATTTTAGTAATGTAAGTACCTCATCTTCTTATGCTAGAAAGATAGCTTGGGTGGGAAGGGAGGGATAAAGGATTTAGGAAGGGGCAGATCATAGACTCAGGCTGAAAAGAACCCAGATTCCCCATCCAAGCATGGACGAGCAGGGTTTATATGGAAAATTTGCAGGAAAAAAAAAAAAAAAAATCCCAGCCTATCAGTAATCCACTCCTAACTCTGGGAGACCAGGAGTTAGTCCTGAGATCTGAAGACATGAATCTAGTAACTAATTCAGTAGTCATCACAAAGTTACTTTTCATAATTGCCATGCAAACTCTGATTTATCTTATTTCACCACAGAGCCATTGTTTAGGAAAAATGCTTTTGAAATGTGTTGTGAATGAATTTTAATGCATTCCCCCCACCCCACCCCCCGCAAAAAGTAGGATTTTGATCATTGGGTATAAACTACACTGAGTTGTCCTGTTCAACAAAAGTATTAACTTTTTATTCCTTGCAATAATTTTGTGGATATATGGGATGCTAAGGCTTGTCATTTCCAATATTATAAGTATCTATTACAGACACTGGTCTTGATGCTTAGTTTAAAAAGAAAGAAAACTCTCTTGAGAGTTCAGTGCACTGGAAATTTCTACCAATATTTCTCTTCTAAGGTAAAATGTTACATGTTACCTGGATATTGTTTGTTGAGTTCTATTTAAAGCTCTCTGTTTCTTGTTTCCAAAATGCATGTTTTCTCCACATTGGGAACAGAGGGTGTTAATTCTGATGTAGCATGGGATGTCCACCTATTGACATTTTCATCTGTACTGTTGGTGAGAATGTTGTCTGTGGAGGAAAAGTGTAAAGAATGAGTGTGGATACTTTGCTGTTCAACTTAATGTGGTTTATTTTCTGCTTGTTTGAGAAAAACGCTGGACAATAAGGTTGTATGAAGGTGTCTATACTTCCCATCCCAGTGGTTTGGTGTCCCCGTCTTTGCTGTATTCCTGGCCTTTGAAAAATCAATGGGACTAAACCCTGACTTCTCCTTAAAGCTTGACAGACCAGATTGTAGATGTGTTCAAAACATTTGAGCCTTGGTTATTTTGATTTAAAACACTCTTCAGAATACTTTAATTATTAATCCTGCAGAAATCTTTTATTTGGTTTTTCCTTCCTCTTGGTTTTTTATAACAGGAAATATTAAATGTCAAGAAAAGTACCATGCCCTTATCCAAATTATCTTTCAATTAGTGCCAGTTGAAACATTGATTACATTGCAAATCATTTCATTTCAGCCACAGCGTCCTGTGTTCACTCATGAAAACATTCAAGGCGGGGGGGAACCGTAAGTATTCTTCTTCTCTTCTCACTTCAAGACTAACCTTGATCCACAAAATGGACAACTGAGGTACCAAAGCAGATGGTACAACTTTGCAAGTGAAAGAGATCCAAGGAACTAACAGCAGACCTCCTAGATTAAGAGAAATGCAATAGTCTCCATCTTTCATAATGCGGAGCAGAAGCTCATCTAAATTGTTTTTGTATCATGATTTTACAGAGAAGCCTTGGGAAGTCTTCCAGGGCTGGAGTGAGTCCTAAGATTTATAAATCCATCTCCCTCTCTGCGTTCCTGGCCAGTGTTTTAAAGCTAGGAACTCCAGCTTTAGAGATACCCAGAAAATGTTCTGACATCATTTTTCCACATATCCGGAGACCTGGAGAACGAAAGAATAGACTAAAGTGACTAGTTACTAACATGATCCCCAAACTGCATTCTTAGAAGGATCTTTTGAAAACAGCAGTGTTGAAATACTCTCGTTCCTGAAATGATTTTTACTTTCACAGCCCCAGGATCATGCCTTTTCAAACTTTCCTTTTAACTTTCCTCTCTTTTTTGATACGTAAGTCAAACCAGCCTGCCTTTAAGATTCTCTGTTTTAAGTGATTGTTCTGCTCCACTTCTGCCTTAGAGAGATGTTCAGAGGTTATCAACATCCTTCTGCCCACTGTCTCCTGTGAGTCAGGAGCTAGACCCCTGCAAAGGAGCGTTTGTGGCACTAAATCTCGCCCAGCATACCTGAGCACAGGCAGTGAGCCTCCAGACCCTGCCCAAGCCCTGTGCACCTGAAGCACGCAGACAATAGACTTCCTGGTGTGCCAGCCAGGTTCTACAGAACCTTCCATCCCCATGTCACTCCTCCTAGACCGTAGACTGAGCTGAGAGCATGCCCTGCAGAAACCATCTCTCACCTGAGACTGGTTCTCACCAAGTACAGCCAGAAAGGTTTATTGCTAAGAGAAGATCTGTATTGTGGGGAAAGAGGGGAGGGACAGGTTGACGTCGGAATAATTTAAATTTTCACTTAATTGGAAAAATCTTAAATACAATTTGTAATCCTAAAGTTTTTATTATTTACTTAAACAATGGTAGGACCACATCACAAAAAATTAAAAATTCCAGGGCTGTTTAGGTTTATTGCATTACCAACACTTTATGCTAAGCACCTTTCAAGGAGTTTATGGGTTAGAAGGTGTGCTGTGTTACACTGTTTTATGTAATGCGGGGTTCATACTTTCCACAGTGGTCCTTGGGGTGTTTATGAAACCACAGAGCCCATTTTTAAAATCCTGCTATAGACGTTATCAAACATTCTATATTGGATATATTTGATTACAACCTCAATTAATGGGATTATGGGGTGTCACTTAATCTCTTTCACTTAAAAAAGGGGTTTTGAGTTAAAGTAGAAGCAAACTGTTTCGTGTCTCTAAGACTCAGGGGTGTAGTGAAATACATGGTAGAAAAAGCTCTGTGTCGAGAGAGCTTCCAGCCTGGTTAATGGTGTTTCCTGTTTAAAAGCCGAATTTCCTCCTGAGGCATATCCCACCGCCAGCATCCATCTCAACAGCGTTATCTTTCAAAACAGCGTCTTCGTACTGCAATTCAATGGCATTTCCCGTCCTTCATCACTGATTTTGAAACCCGGCAGAGGTGGGAGGGTTTCTGGAAGATTTATTTATGTTTCCATAAAACTCCCCATTTTCTTGTTCTTTTTTTTTTTTTTCCTTTGGTCTAGTTAAATCAGAATGGTAAGTAAAATTTGACAAGCACGCTGGCTTTCGTCATTGCAATGTGAAACAGGAGTCGGTGCTGATTTTGGTCTTTTAGCTCTTGGGACCTTGAGATTCTTCAAGCGTCTGGGGATTGTGGCCTTCAGTAGGCCTGTCTTCCTAAGTGGCTAGAGATGTGCCCGGGAAAGGCTCACGCCTGAGAAGTTCAGTGAGTGAATCGGTGTCTCCCAAAGTGAGAGACACAATGTATATCCAGCCAGTTAGCAGACCCCTCAAATGTGAAATTGGAAAAAGCGGCCATAACTAGGTAATTCATTTCCTTTTTTTAACTAAGTATTTTCATTTTGGAGCTTTGGTGGTGCAATGGTTAAGAGCTCGGCGGCTAACCGAAAGGTCGTCAGTTCGAATCCACTAGCCGCTCCCCTGGAAACCCTATAGGGCAGTTCTGCTCGGTCCTATAGGGTCACTCTGAGTTGGAATCAGCTCAACCGCAATGGTTTTGTTTGTTTGTTTGTTTTAAGTTTTCATTTTATGTTGAAATCAACCTCCCACATGGATATAGGAAAGATACCACCCACTCACCTGAACAGTCTCAAAATCAAATCCTTAATGCAAACAACAAAATGATTTGACTACTTCATCCAGAGCTGGCCCTAAGCAAACATCCCAGTTAGGTAATGTTTGAACTCCACGCCTGCATGTCATTTCCACCTCTGCTCAGGAACTCTTGCTGCCTTTTTCTACCCTTCCAACTATCAGAATCCTCTCTTAACCAAAAACCTCAGAAGCCCATTCTTAAAAGAGTGTAAGTGGTTAAAAAAGTTTGCTAGGAAGATAAAATATTAACGAAGGAAGAAATCTCTAATGTTGGAATTCCAGGCTTTGGTACCAGGCCATGAAGATAATGTTTGCTAGCAGAGGGTGTTGGGTGCCTCACCTTACCAGGATCACTTTTAGATGCTGTACTATTGTTTAATGTCTGAATAATAGCTATTATATGACTGGCCAATTGAAATGCAGGTCTGACTTTTAAATGTTAAAATATTTTTAACATTAAAATGTTTTAATTCAATTCATGGATGTTATAATCTTGCATGAATATTCCTCACTATGAGTTTTGAAATGTTATTAGAGTGGTCTATTTCCCATGAAAGTTTAAATATTTCTACTTATGCTATATGCCTACCAAAGACTTAAACTACCTAATATGTTAATAAGACTAAAAATGTGAAAGGTAAAATGAATATTGTACTATCTTCTATCATTTAGCAAAGGAGTAGAGATTTTTTTAAACACACCCATCTGTCCCGTTTAAGGTTTCAGGCTCTGTATAACTATACTCCTAGGAACGAAGATGAGCTGGAACTCAGGGAGAGCGATGTCATTGATGTGATGGAAAAGTGTGATGATGGATGGTTTGTGGGTATGTGTAGATTTCTTTTCTGGCCCATTTGGCTATTTTATAATGTGCTTGTTTTTTCTCATTTGCATGGTTTAATTCGATAGTCAAGCTTTCTTTGAATTCATAATGCCTTTGATCTTTCCTACACTCAGATGCACTAGATAATCCCACGGCAATTTGCATTGTTGATGTGGTTTAGGGTTTACTGCTCCAGGTACCCATGATGTTTCCACTAGTTTTATTTCCAGTTCAACTGAGAGAAAAAAATTTCTTTAAATAGCACCAGCCAGAATGAGATATGAAGGAAAAAAAAAATTTTTTTTAATAGATGAAAAAAATTCTTCGTTCAGTGGAGAATGTTAGTTGCCGGGGGCGAGGATTTAATTCGAGTGGAAGCAAGATTAAATGGGCGACTAGTGCACTTGCTAGGTCTGATGTAGATGCCCTGAAAGTCCAGTGATTCACCTTTGCTTTAATTTGTGGTCCAAGTAGAGGGAAATCCCCTTCCTACCACTTAACAGACAACCCCAGAAAGGCAGAAGGCGAGGGGATGAGGTCAGAAGGGTCAGTCGGTGGCAGAATAATGAAAGAACTGAGGCTACATTTGCACCCACAAGCCTCTCATTCTATTGATATTAATTTTTACTTAGAAGACACATTAAGTGGCTTACCTACATTGGGGGGAAGGGGTAATAATCAAACGAGGACAGTATATTCCAGAATAGAGATGAGAAACAGAACTCTAGAGGTCCTGTTTTCTCCATTTGAACTGGAGATCCTAAAGAAGAATGTTGTACACCAACTGTTGGAAAAAGCTTCAAAGGGATCGTGTCATTTGAAACTGAAGGCGATCATAAAGACGGCCATCCGTGCTTTCGGTGTAACTCACTACGAGAGAAATCATGCTGGAGGATGGGACTCCACCCTCAGATAGTCATACACCTTTGTCTTTTTTAAGTGACTTAGTAGCTTGTTCAAAATTTTATTAAGGACCCTATTCTTAAGGCACTATTCTTAGATGAACGACGTTGCGTTCAGCATGATTGTCTACGAGACATTGAAAATGTTTTTGGACAGTGACAGCATCCTAGATAATTCCTGTGTTACTTCCCTGCATTTTTTTGTTGTCGTTACACTTTTTAGAAGTGCAAACTGCACGCAAATGAGTGAAGAATTAAGGTAGGCCTCTTGCCCATTGAAGCAGACCTTGCTCTTGTGCTTTCCCCATCCGTCCTAGCACACTGCCAGCCTGCCCATTATTTACAAAATTTTATTTGAAAATGTCTCTTCCCAATACTTTTCTCATTCCCCTCGTCACTATTGGTTAGCAGCCTTGGTGACGGAGTTCTCCCACCCACCTGCTCGGCTGGAAGCCTTCCCTTCAGACTGAGCGGCTGTGTCTCTGGTCTGATACGAAGGTGGCATAACATGTAAGCTTAAGAGAAAGTGAGTACATCAGGCAGTGCAGATAAACCTGCTTGTTTTGTCTTAGAGTGAGTTGTCTTGTTTTGTTTCCAAATCCTGTGGGGCTTGTTCTCTTAGGGAATCCTTGCAAACAGCAAGTTTTCAAGCCCACGTATACAACTGATATTTCACCGTTATAACCACCTTTCATTTATTGCTTCTGTTTTCAGGAACCTCAAGAAGAACCAAATTCTTTGGTACTTTTCCCGGAAACTATGTAAGGAGGCTGTGAATCACTCTCCCTCCTTATTTATGCGGCATTTCGGCAACACGTCTTCATGAACTGGCCCGAAACGTCCCTCCAGGCCTTCGGTTGTCAGGCCTTCTGGTTTCCGGTAGGAGACGCCCACCCTCACCCTCTCCACCTGCAGCCAAACCACGAGCAGAGTAACCGCGCAGAGTAACCGCCGCTGCCGAGCCTTGGGGAGACAAGGCAGGATTGCTTCCGCGTCAGAGCACATGTTTCTGCTTTCTGCTCGAAACTTTCCAAAGTTGATATGTGGGGTTACAAAGAAGGTCATTATACTTGAAAAGGGTAACATATTTAAGGCAAAAAAAAAAAAAAAATAGTGCCTCAAGGAAGCCCCTCTGGCACTCTAGTAAAATACGTTGGAAGATGTTGTCCCCTCAGGCAACCAGAAGATTGTTTATCATTAAATGCTGTGGTTTGCATTTCCACATTCTTAGCTTGGCGATATATTTTCTTTTCACAAGTTTGCCTAGTGTCCTGGTTTACACAATATGACAACTGTACTTCAGCTATTGTTTGCCTGCACTTATATGTTGTAATATGCACAGTGATTATAAGATCTAAAGTAAGAGTAGGAACCTTAATTCGGATGAATGTGATTTTGTTGATTGAATGTGAGTTTTCAAATAGGAGTCTTTTCCTGCAATTTTTTTGTACTTTTTAGAAGTACAAACACTAAGTGAATAAGAGCCTTTGGTAGGAATCAGGAGAATACAAGAGGTTTAGCTAGATTGCGAAAAAGAAAAAAAAAAACTATTGTGTTGTAAAGTTGCATTGCTATTTTATATTAAAATGTAATAATCAGCATCATGAACAATGAGCTCTTAGTGTTTTATTTATCTGATAAAATTTAAATAAAAGCAGTGTTAGTGAGAGGTGCAAAGAATGATTCTAACATAGACAGTTGAAAGTATCTGTAAGCAATACTCATAGGTTAGATTTCACTGTGTGTACATGTATACATATGAGATTGTATGAGCTCATACAGCTCATGACATGTTATACGCTGTATGGAAATGTAAAAGATTCTTGCACATTATTTTATAGAAATAGAGTACTTTGGAAGCATCACAAGTATTAAGGCTGGTTTTAGCAAGGATTGTGATCAATACAACTATTTTTACTATGATAATTATTTTTCTTCTATGGAACTCAGAATCCTGGCTACATTTGAGGACAGGAATATGTTGAGCCTGATTTTCTTGGTATGTGGTGTAAAATATTTCCTAGGAATAAATTAGGCACTTTTTAGAGGAGATGTTAAATCACTCAGGTTATATTTTATGCCCTGAAGCAGAGATTTACAAACTGATACCGGGACCTGAAAGATTTAATGTGGTAACAGTGCCTGAACTACACATACCTGAGAACTCGCTCTGTACTTCTTATGACTTTGCATAAGAACTCTTCGCATTTGGATCTCAAGCACCTTACAGACAAAACTTTTTATGGCATTTCCTCCGTGGGCAGTGATTGACCTTTTCACAATGTACGTAGACTCTAGGATTTTGTACATATGTTTGCTCTTTTTTTGTACAGACTGTTTAGTTCTTGAGAAGACGGGGGATTTCCTAGTTTGGTCTTCGTCCTGCACTTAACTAAGCTAAAACACTTTCCGAAGATTTTCCTTTACACATCCCACAGATTACAAGCACGCCTTGGTAGTGCAATTCGGTAGCATTTATGCAAAACTTTATGAACTTCAAAGGTCTTAGCGGCCAAGCTGAAACATACTTAGATATCTATTACAGAGGAGTTTCATTAGGAAGAAAATTAGAAACATCTTTGGGCAGCCTAGCCTGATTACTGTCAAGTTCATGACCAGCTTTGTATTTTAAAGGCTTTGGGTTTGAAACTAGGTCAACTGCATGTAGCTTTGCTGAAAATGAATAACTATCCTTGATGCCATTTATGAGAAAACACTTCAATATCTGTTGCCTGTCATACTTAAGAGAAATTATTGTTTCTACTCTCTGTATCTGATTTTGAAAGGAAAAAATATTCATACCTGACTCTCAGGTAATTGACTTTGAATTCTTACAAGCAAAGGTCATTGTGTTTTTTCTTGAATAGACATCTAATAAATTGGCTTGGAAGTGTACTTCAGTTTTTCTTCGTCATATTTATCTTTAAGTGAATTGTGTCTTTTATCTCAACCTGTTAGATAAACTAAGAGAAAATGCATTTGCCCTGTGTTCTCTTAACACACAAACGAAGAAAAGACCCATCAGTTCAGAGAAGAGGTATTTTTTAAACCCACCACCGAAGCTCATTAAACCCACCACCAAAACTCATTTGCTAAATACTCTTTGGCTAAAAGTTTTTCTTCAGCTAAAAAAACACATTTAAAAATATCTCTGCCTCAGAAAACAGCTATTTTTCCAAGGAGGAGTTAATTACAAGAAGTTAAGAGCACTTTCCCCATTCACCTATCTCCAGTTTTAAAATCCTTGCACTAAAAGGCTCTGCCATGGTTGGTGTGATAGACTCGGCGAACACCTACCAGCTTTCAGTGAATTTCAAATTACGTGTGCAGCTGGGTCATCGTTTTCTCTCACACACACGGTAAACCGCTTGCTTTCCTACTGGGATCCTTCCTAACACAGCTGAGACCGTCTGGCACTATGTGTCTCAACACTTTTCCGTATCTCTCTCTCAAATATTCGGAAACACATTGCTGTCTTGGCAATTCAGTGTCAAAGATGTCTCGCTTCACCTTAGCATCCACCCTGATCCTCTCTATTCCACTGAATGTTTTCCACTACATATTGGCTTTCCACCAAAACGCGTTCCCCTTGTGTGAAGAATATACCCCACACTACTCTTTAGTTCCTGCTTCATCAGAGCATTTGGCGAACTTTGGTTAATCTGTTGCTTGTTGGTTTTCTGTTACCCTCCTCAGGTAAGCCTGTCCCCAAAAGATCAGCACGCCCTAAAAACGTGATGTCTGCCATTGAAGAACCAAGCCAAAACCGCACCTGCTGCGTGGAGCCGAGTCAAACTCAGGGCAACCCCACGTGTTACAGACTAGAACCGCTCCATCGGGTTTTCTTGGCTGTAACCTTTTCAGAAGCAGATTGCCAGGCCTTTCTTGCACAGTGCTGCTGGGTGGATTTGAACCACCAACCTTCAGGTCGAGTGCAAACCATTTGCACCACGCCCTGCCAAAAACAAAAAACCGTTGCCGTTGAATCAATTCTGACTCATAGCAACCCTATAGGACATAGTAGAACTGTTCCATAGGGTTTCCAGGGAGCGGCTGGTGAATTCAAACTGCCGACCTTCTGGTGAGCAGTTGCGCTTTTAACCACTGCGCCACCAGGCCTCCTTGTACCATCCAGGGGCCTCCAACTGAAGTTCACGTGCATCAGAAGATGTATTTCCTGGCCCCATCTGAGAATCAGTCCTTTGTGCTTATCTGTAAAATCTGCTCAGGCACAGCAGCTGCTTTACAAAGACGTGAGCTCAGGAATATGCCTGCCGTTCTGCAGTTTCCCAGTCTGCTATCACAGCCTTCCAGCCCCTGCTCTGGGGCCCTGGACAGCCCCCCTCAGAGCTTGTCCTTCTGCCACACTTCCCCTCTGTGAGTGCCAGGATTCTGGGTGGAATAGTGAATTATTTCTTGCTTCACAATTCTTTAATGCTTAGTAACCTATGTCACTTGACTGTATGCCAGAGCACGCTCATCATGACACTCCAGAAATTCTTTACTGCATCTCATCCACGGTGCTGAAAGCACACTTAGTGGGTGGAGTAGGACCCCCAGTTGTGAGCCAGCAAGACTCACGAGGCACTGACTACCCATCAGACTGTCTGCGTGGGGACCTGCCATCTGGGTGCTGACCGGCCACCCAGGTCAGGAGAAGGCAGCAGGAAAGGACCCTCGGATACTTTCTGTGCCAGATTTAACCCCTCTGTTAGCTACTCCCTCACTAAATACAGGCATATCCATTTCTTACTGCACAGACAGCAGAAGGACCCTGTCTGAGGAACCGTCTGTTTCCATGATCCTTCACCGCTTGAGCTCCTTCTGTAGATGGTCACGTTGTGGGCCTCATAATTTCTTCATACTGTTTTCCAAATTTCAGCCACAAAGGAAGATACTTTTAAAATAATAACTGGCTCAAATAAAAGTAAGCACTCTGTCAACTTCCAAGAGCATGTTTATTTAAAGAATTAGTGACTTCACTCTCCTTTCCAGCCTGTAACCCTTGTCTATGGGTCGATTGTGGTTTTATTTACTTGTCATTAAGGAACAGGGTCGGAGCAGAAGCAGAGATTGCCATGAGTAACAAATGGTCTGTATCAGGGACTGGCAAACTGTGACCTGCGGGCCAGATTCAGCTGCTTACCTCTTTTTGTATGGCTTGGGGGCTAAGAAAGTTTTCCACAGATGAATATTTGGAAATTAATTTAATGATAAAGTTCCCGTCCAGTCGACTCATGGGCTACACTATGAGTGTCGGAGTAGAACCGTGCTTCGCGGCGGTTTCAATGGCTGATTTTTCGGAAGTAGATCACCAGGACTTCCTTCCAAGGTGCCTCTGGGTGGGCTTGAACCTCCAAACTTTCAGTTAGCAGTTGAACGCGTTAAACATTTGTACCACCCAGGGACACCTCAGTTTGATGGTGGGAACACTAACTTTGAACCCTAATTAAGTGAAATATTGTCCCCCCTCAAAAAAACAATTCATTTGCAGACATAGATTACAAAAATATATACTCTATTATTATTATATTTTTAATTTCACCAGTAAAAATGTGTGGAAATTTGTTTTTTCGTATTAAGTATATATATAATATCCTTAATTTTGCCTCCTGGCCCACAAAACCTGAAATATTTACTATGTGTCCCCTTATAGACAAAAATTACGGCCCACTCAGGCCAGCATCTGACCACACAGGGTAACGAAGAGGTGTATGCTCAGTCAAGGGAAGTAGTACTTCCCTGAGGAAAGCTGACTCTGGTTTCTGAAACACACGGCAACCAGCGGGGATGTAATTTCAGTGACCGACCTGTTTTAACCGAGCATGAGCCTGTCCGTGAGCTGGGTGGGATTCATTAGGGCCTCCAGGCGCTTGCCTGTGAATG